CTTTTACATCAGGGTGACTTAAGTCATTAGCAACAGCTGTGTGAGCGTGGCTGGGCTCAGAGATGTTTTGGTGATGTTCTGGACACCTCACCATACTGCTGTGTGCCCTTTTGTGACCACCCGTGACCTGTTTGCCCATCAGTCCTGCTTTTAGTGACGCACCAGATGTCACCTTCACGCGCTGCAGAGCTGCTGGGTTCTGCCTCTTGTATCTGCAAACGCTCATTGTTAATAAGCCTGGCAAGTGTATTGGGGCATCATTTTCCAGCAAGCCCTGTATCCTATATCCAGCCATTATACTTACAGATGACCCCATACTAAGCTCTTAAATTTTTTTGTCCTCCAGGCAGAGGCAAAGATGAATTCCTGGTACCCAGAAAACACATATCAAGCACCATCCTGTTCACATAACAATGAGCTGGATGGCATTAACCAGCCCTTTTGCAGAGCTCATCACAACAAAACAAGAGATGAAGGAGGGAAAACCCATGACTCCTAGTAGGGGACAGCCTAGGCAGCCAGGAGTGCCTTACTTCAAAGGTGCTACCAGACAAAAGGGCCGCAAGAATCTGACCCTCAGCCCCACAACTAGTTGGCCACTGTCCTGAGAGCCCTCTGGGTATGGCCACACTGCAGACAATGTTGCTGTCACTGTGTGAGCTCTTCATTTAAGTGTTTTGTATTGCCTGGGGAGATGTGCAGCCAGTTTTTCCTTTTATTGCTCCTGCAGGACACGGCCACATGCAGCAGAAACTTCCCATTCTGAGTTCTCGGTTTGCTGGGCAGGCTCCAAACAGTAGCATCCATCAGTGAAAATGCTGCCTTTCTTTCCTCTGGCTCCTTGAAGAGATTACACCCCCACCAGCCAATATTTTAGGTCTACAGCAATTGATTTTGCATGATTGTCCCTCCTGCCCCCAAACTCCTACTCATCCACCATGATGTGCCCAGCCTAGCCCAGAGCAAATTCAAAAAAACAAACAAACAAACCCCTACCAATGTTCTTACAAAGAGCTGCTCAGCTCTTCTTGTGTAATTCTAGCACAAGGAGTGTGGTGCATTTTGATCATGCAGGGAATTAATTCAGAAAATTGGTTTGCTGTCTAGTTTATCTTTGTAAATGTGAGCAAACTGTTTTATTTTTCACTGACAGCCTCATTTGGATATTATTTTTTCAGTGAAATCCTAGCAAGGCTTTCTTTATGTCACCATAAATTGTAGGAAAGTTTTCTTTGCAGTAAAACCTTTGTCAGTGTATTTGGAAAACCGCTATTAACAATATTGCAAAAACATTTGAAGTGTAAACCAGGCAATACATTGCAAAGCACAAATTATAAAAAACAAACTTTCCTATCCCCTTGAATGCCTGAAGCTTATTGCAAAACTGCATGAATGGCACAGTGAAGGTCAAGCATGTTCACGCAAGAGATTTTAGATACAGAAAGTGCTGTTAAAGGTTGTTACTTTCTAAGGCCTGTCTTGCCTGTTCCTTGGTTAGACATCTATGCTCATACAGCTCCATGAAACAGCCAGTTACCTTTCTGATCAACAGCAGCACCGCACATCTCACTCGATTCACTCGATTCTTACAGTTTTCACAAGCAGATCTGTTCTTTGCTGTTGCACCAGGTTCCTTCCTCACCTCCATTTTCTCCTGTTTATTCTGATTGTGCTGCTAATGAGACACTTGTTTCCTGACCTCTGGCCTCTTGACAGCCTCATGCAGCCCCTGTGATGTTAAATGAAATAAGGCACAGCAGCAATCCAGCAATCAAACCACTGAAATCGACCTCTGCAAGCTAGGTGGGCTTCATTAATATTTTTTTATTCTGGGCAGCACAGGAGGGAAGGTAGAAGTGGGGAGGAATCATGCCTGGTGTTTGCCAAGATCAGAGCAGCACACTGGAGATGGTATACTGAATTTGGTGTGAAAAAAACCTATATCTTTGCAGCCATGGTAATAAAGCCATAGCTGCTTACGTTTCTTGACTTACAGGATCTGTAACCAGTATCAAGATTTTCAAAGATGGTAATGTTAACAGCTGTTCAACATCTGGCAAACCTAGAAGTCAAGAGGCAAGAAAAAAGAACTAAAATGATGCTGTTCTGAGGAGCTGGTGGAGTTGTTTGTAAAGCCCAAAGATAGTTTGGGGGCAGAAGTCACTGTAGCAGCAAGAGAAGAAATGAAATGAAAAGAGCAAGAGACCGAGAAAAGAGATAATTACAAGAGCTTGGAATGGAAGGGCTGGGGAAGGGACTGGGTTTGTTTGAGGAGCTCATCAAGGAAGCAGTCACAACGAGGGAGCAGGAGCAGGCTCAGTCAGTCCTAAAGGATGTTGGAAATGGGGATGTAACAGCAGTTCACGGAGATGAAAGCAGACGCTGGTACTGGAAGCCATGAACCTCCACAGCTTCTACTCATTACCTTCTTCATCCTCTAGCTGTGCTTCACTGCTTGCATTGTAAGGACTAATCATGATTTTTTTCCACTACAAGGGTACCTTATCTTTTCCTACTGCCTAAGTCTTGCTATTAAAAATTCTTGGGTTTCTAAGAGTCCAGAAGCGATCAACAAGCCATGAATGCATATAGCTTCAGATCTCCAGACTGAAACTATCAAGTGTTGTGGCTTTTTCTGTGCAGATAGCTTCAGATCTCCAGACTGAAACTATCGAGTATCATGGCTTTTTCTGCCATGTAAGTGCATTGCTTGAAAATGGTGGTCATCATTTAGGCAGGAGCACTCTGCAGCCTGAAAAGGGTGGATAATGGGACCTATAAAATAATTAGACTCTCAATGGGGAACACAGGTATTCTCGGTTGGCTTTCACTAGGGGCACTACCAGGCAATGTGGGGAAGAATCCCACAGTCTGTAGGTCTCTGAGCAGCACAGGAGTAGAGCATGCATATAATACCAAGGGCATACTTGGAGGAAATATCTGTCTTCTTGTGTGGAAGCAATGACACAGTGAAGTGAAAGCTTTGTTTAAATGTATATACTTCATGGCAGGTACCCCAGTAAACACATAGAAGACTTGGTCCTTTTTGTAAATCACCTATGAAGATAGATAAAACTTCTGCCTTTTGTTAGAAGCGCTCCAGTGTGAACTGTTTTTGACAGAACTGTTAGCTGAGTCCTTCAATCCTTGTTTCCTTGGAAAGGGGAGGACCTTTTGGGGAGCATTCTCTTCAGACTAACTTCTCCTTTTACTTGTTGTGTGATATTTGTTTCTATAGAACCAGCTGCACACTGGATGGCTGGAGTCCGTCCTTAACAACCCTCTGATGCATCCTCTTGAAAACCATCACGGTGCAGTGGATTAAAAACATTGTGTAACTCAGTTCCTGCAGCCACACATGGTGGCACTAAGAGTGGCAACTTTTTGATTCTTGTGCGCTGCTAGAAATAAAGTAGTTTTAATTGCTTCATAGTCCTAAGGTGAAGTCTCCCATTAGCAACAGCTACTGTATCTTAGTTGGTAATAGCAAGCACTTGAATAGCACTTTCTGTCTTCAGAGTACTTCACAGACATTCTTTATTTCTGAATTAAGCATGAGTTTCTGTCCCTTTCAACACTTTTCCAATGAGATAAATGTTCAATCTGCCATGGGAAACAGACAAAGCTAATGACTCCAAATTCTCCACTGGAATAGGGCGATGATCTGCTGTTTTGTTTTCGTGGTGTGAAGTGGCCCCAAAGGACGTACGGCTGGTATCACCTTTGCTGGTGGAAATCTTCAGGCTATTTGAAGTCAGATGCCTGTAGCGCTCCTGCCTTCGTATAGCTAGCGTAGGGGGTGGGCTCCTACCCACCCCATGTGCTTCAGCCCTGTGCACCATGCACGATGTGAGGGGCAGGGGTATTGAACGGGTGCACAGGTGAGCTCCCGGCGCTGGAGAAGGCTGGGGATGTGTGCGCGTCTCTGAGCAGCAGCTCAGCCCCTGTGTTGTGAGGAGCCATTGTCAGATGTCTCTCGTTCAGCCTTGCAGATCCAGCCCCGTTTCAGTGAGCTTCTGTGCCCTGGGTCAGGGGAAGCATTCACTGCAGAAGATGAAGCCATGCAACTGGCATTCATATCATGTTTCCTATCAGTACCCCGTATCTCACAGGGGAACTGATATCCAACTGGCAGAGACTGGGGACCCCAAGTAGGGAATGTCTCTGAATGACGACATCTGAAGGAAGAGGAGGCTCTGTCTTGTCACTGGCATCATTGACAAAACTCCTATTGACTTGGAGGAGAGTATGAGGAGGCCCAACAGTGCTGACTTCTGATGTCATCTCTCTGGTTTACTTTGTTTTCCAAAGACTCCTTTGTGCTTCTCTCCCTTGCTTTGTATTCTGAATATTCAGACCGTTTCTATGCTCAGGGTCCCCATTTGTAACTAGACTGCATTTTTTGTGACCCTATTACGTACAGGTTGACTAGCAAGTCACGCTGATCCTTCAATATAAGATTTTAATAAAAACCACGAGAGGAGGAGGAGGGAAGTGAGGGTGCAGATGAGGAGGAGGGCTGCTATTGTTCTGCCCTCAGCGCTGCCAAACCATCCCTTGTTTTTTCTGTGGACTGTCTGTGTGTTCAAACGCTGTTTGAACAAACGGGGCACAGTCAGGAGGCTGGCAAGAGGGCAGTGAGAGGGTTAGCTGGGTCTTAGCTAGAAATACTTGCGCGAGTAGGGAAGCAGGCATGGGAGGAAGGAAATTAAGTGGAGACATCTGTGTAGCTTAGCTTTCAGCAGCTCTGCCTGGGGTAGGGGTGGGAGAGTCATGCCTAAGATGACATAACGTATTTTGTCTTTTGTGAGTTGAAAACAGAGGAAACTGCGAAAGTGAAGCATGATCTGTGTCACGCATGGTCCGGGCGTACCAAGTACATAATGGAGCAGTGTCAGTGCTTTCTGCTCTGCCTTTCACACCCCAAAATAACTCTTCAAGACAGAGAACTGAGGAGAATGTGATATGGTCCAAAAACTGATCTTGGACTTTTTTCGCAGACGACTGAGCCAGAGGCCGACTGCTGAAGAATTGGAGCAGAGGAACATACTGAAACGTAAGTCCTGATACTGCTGACATTTAACCTGAAGCCAGCTAGTTTGGGTTAGTTTAGAAGTATGTTGGGTGTTTTTTATAAAACATCAACTATTCTGTATATGCATCATTAATAATAATAAAGTGCATCATAAATGTAAATAAGCATGCAAGTCTATAGCAACATCTAGAGCTGCAGAAACAATTCCTTAAAATCAGAGTCAGTAAATTCACAAGAATGAACAATCTATGGGGAAAAAAACTCAAACGCTGAATCTTTTTTTCAAGTCCTGTTCCAAACAGAGGGTCGGTTATTCTGAAAAGCCTTTATGCAGCTCTTACACAGATGAGTATCCCATTATAAGTTAGTAAAGACATTAGGGCATGGCTTGATTAGTTTTCCTAAAAATCTTCACAGCAAGCTAGACTAGGTGGAGCCTTTATTCAATTAAAAAAAGAAACCAATGTGACTCAGTTTATTATTTCCCTGAAATGTTCCCCTGAAACTCTTCCTTTAAATCAGCCAAAAACTTGCTGATGGATCTTCAAAATGTGGAATGATATTTTAAAGGGACAAAATACCATTTAGAGACCCTGATATGAGTTAAGTTAGTAGATACATTGCCACCAGCTTCAAGGAAGGCAGGACTGAGTCTAGCACAAATCTCGTCATCACATGAATGAATAAGAAAAAAATGAGTTCCTTTACTCACATTGAAGTGGTTTGACTATTTAAAAAAAAAAAGCTGTTTATCTAATAGTTGTTACTTTGGAAACAGAAAACAAAAGAAACAAGTTCTTTTCTTTTTAAGTTAATAAATGCATCATTCCAGGGAAATTTTAAAAATTACTACAGAAAAAAGTGTTCCTAAATGATACCTTATATATAATGTCTCCTTAGGCAGGTCTGTAATTTACCTTCTCTTGTTCAAATAACTGCATTGTAGAGAATCATAAAAATGTGGTAGCAGCAGATTAATTCTCTGAAAATTAGCAGAATTGATTGATTAAATACTTCAAAATCAAATTCCTAGCAAGTTAATGATAGTGTTAATGCTCAGCAGGGTTTTTTCATCTGTTCATGTTATTACACGTGGCAGACAAAGAGAGAGGCACCACTGTCAATGCAAAGAGAGAAAAGACCAGCGTGGGCGAGCCCAAGATGCCAGAAAAGCCATTTGTTTGGGGCCAGCCCCCTTTTGATAGCTGTGCTCCTACTGTCTATTCCTAATGCCTGTGACTGGCCACTGGAGGAAGTCAGGGGCAGAACCTGGGGAAATAGGTGGCACATCCAGATGTGATCGTCTCACAGGCAGGTAGCAGAACAGCTGGACAAGGGGGAACCTGCAACGTGACTGATGCCAGGCTCAGGCGAGAAGGGACAGAGGCCAGTTCTCTGGGCAGCTCATGTTATCATCCCTGGACTTATGAACAAACACGTGTCATGCACCACCTGGCACTGGCGCGTGACCAGTAAACACTGCCCTGGCACTGGTGGGTGCTGCTGGGGGGAGGTGGGGGTCTCGGGCAGCTGCTTTGGCAGCAGTGTTTGAACCAGCGTCAGCAGAGAGGCAGCATCTCCAGCGCTGTGCGCCTTGCAGAGGTTCCTAAAGGTCACGTTGCCAAGCGCAGCAGTCACGTAGCGACCTGAAGATGTCTGTCTTACATTTCAGAGGAATTATCCCCTGAGTCACATTGGTTTCTTTTTTAATTGAATAAAGGCTCTTAAATGACATGGATGTGTTTGAAAATATTACCCTGGATCCAGAACTATATTGTATTTCCTAAATGGAATTCTTGTAGCTTGGTTCCTAAGCACAGATCTGCTCCAAAACATGTGTGTCTTGGTAGACAAACAACTTCATAATTACAGGAAAAAGTAATGTGGTATTTCCAAGGCATCCCAACTTTTGGCGAAGCACAGCAGGAAAGGAATAAAAAAATTAAAATAGTTACATAATTTAAAAAAAGAAAGCATAAAAATGCTCCACCCTTAAACAAGTAAATATAAATAGTGTCTGGTTTATACATCACTTTATGTCCTTTCCCTAGAGTTCTGAGAAGGAGAATTATAATAAATATAATGGAGCCTAGAGAAAAAGAGACATAGGAAGCAATAATGAAGAGTGTAAATTCTCTGCATAAGCAGGTCAAGCAATTTGCAAAAGCCTAGGTCAGAGCACAGACGTGCGCACACACACACAGAGGAAACCCAGCAAGGTCCCAGGTAGACTAAATAGGATTTCCTCTGCAGTTAAAGCTGAAATCTTCTTGATTTAAATGTCATGTCTGGTACCATGATGTTCCTGTTACATGTATAACTGCATTATTGCCCATTCTGATGGAAAGAAATGAGGCAAAATGTGGTTGGACAGCCAGTCTTTATACATGAAGTGATCACTTCCTAGCTCTGTGCTGCTGCAATAATTATGAGATGGTCATCTTTATTGAATTACAAGGGCAAAGCATCCATTGCACAAGTTCCACTACTTGCTGGTAGCAACAGTAAGATTACAGCAGCCACAGCAAAGAAACAGAGAACAGGGACACTGGTGCTTGAAGGTCCTTCACTGAAGTATACCCAATTCACTGACTCTTATTTAAGTCAAAGGCATGTAGTGAGAGGAGTCCAGACCTGCAGGGTTAGTGTGAAGACTAAAGAACACTTTTTGCAGTTAATACTTGCTGGCTAAGTTTATGAGGAAGGATGCCTCAATCCCCCTCACACACCACCCCCCCATGCCACTTCTCAGGTGGATGGAAGTAGTTCAATTGTCAGCCTGGCACATTCAGGGTTGCATAAATTCCTCACAAAAATGATGGTTAGGTAGGCTCTGAGGGTCTCAGGCTGTACTGAGGGACATTTCACACTGGCACAGAAATCAGGCCTGAAAATCACACCCATACCCAGCCACCCTCACACACACAGGTCTAGAGAAACAGAGCATCTCCTGAACACATAAGATAAAATAAAGCAACAGTTTTGTACCTTCATAAGATTGGCATGACTTAATTAACTTTAAAGAAATAGCTGAAACAAAGTCACTTTCTGGTTTCAGAGGAGAATGTATTCCTAATTCCCAGCTTTTGCCTGACCGAGGTCTTCAGCCTGCCTGGCTGTCTCTGAAGGTGGGTGGCTGGGCTGAGAAGTGAGAAGAAAAGAAAGATATCATATGCCAAGTACAAAAATAAACGGCCATAACTAAGTTTTATACATAACTCCTCGACTTCTTGCGGTTCTACCCTGACTCTGTGTGGCCTCTGTTTAGCACTGGGTCTCTCTGGCTTAATCTTACAAGGATGTATTAGTGGCTCTATTTCTGAAAGTAGGCATTTCCAGGACCAGCTCCTCCAAATTTGAGACGCAAAGGGAAGAAGATTGCTAGAGGAACAATTGCTAGAAGAGAATCCAGCCCACTAGGGACAAAAACCACTGAAAGAGGAAAAATATATTCATCAGTATAGGTATTCCAGTTATCATTTAAAAAGCCATTTGTGACTCCCTGCTGTCTTCTGTTCTTTTTAATCCAGTATTGGTTTCCTTCCTCCTGAAAACGTAATCAGTATTTTTGGTAAAATGTCATTTGAAGATCAGAAGCGTATTGTAAAACATCATAACATGAACTGGCTCTTTGTCCCTTTGGTGGAGATTTCCCAGTCCTGCTAAAGTCAGTGAGCAGTTGTGATAGATCTGTCAACTCTACTGTCCTGAGCAGCAAGAAACCTGGCTTCCAGCCTAGCCCTCCTCACCTGCTCAGAGACTTCTGTGGTCTCTAAACCTTAGGTCTTATTTCTGTGTGGGGAAAGCCCTGGTTTTGAACACATTGGTTTGAAACATTGCATCTCCTCCACTGTGGGCACACTTCTGCTGGGTTAGGACCTCCTTATATTATTTTTGGCTTGTCCCAGTTGGTTAGTGGGAGTGCTGACCTGTGCTCTCATGGCTGAAGAAGTTACGTCTGGCAGTTTGTTACTGTCATTTTGTCAGAGGTGCCTGCTTCTCCCACAGGATCAGTGGAGAGGAATGTGGGATTCCCCCTTGCGTTTAATTCAGTCCAAGTTGGACAGTTTAAACCAAGTCACCTATCCCAAACTGGCCTTTGAGGTCCGTGATCGCCCCTGCAGAGAGTTATTCCTGCCTGAGCTAGTCCTATCTGGGTGAAAACCAGATCACACCAGGGGCACAGGGTACTTGTTGGAAAAGCTGATGAGTTGTGTTTGCTCTCATCTGTTATGCACAGGCGTGATTGGAGTAAGGAGCAGTTCAGCTGTCAACAAAGCAGTGGAAACGGATCCTAACTGATTGAGGAGCTGAGTGCCAAGAAACCTGGGCTTTTAGTGACTTTCAGTAAAGTTCAGTGCAAAGACATGCATGACAACCTGCTCCTAAGTTGAAGAAGAGTTAGTGTACTCAAATGTTATTGTCCTCTTGAGGAACAATGGTTCAGGCTTGCCCTGGCAAGAACTTGTAACATGATCTTTTGGCTTAATGTTGAAAGTGAGTTGCCCTAAGATGTGCTTTTACACTCCAGTGTGATGCTGTGAAGGCTCATGATGGAAGGACACTCTCTCCTTACTCTGCTCAGGTCATGGGAGGTTGCAGACTTTGCCTGGCACCCCTATTCTGAATTCTTTTTCCATTCCCTCCAAAGAGTAGCTGCAAGAAATTATTCTGTAGATGGAAAAAAAAAAAAAAAAGCATGTGTTTCTTTTCCAACCATTGACCTTGCAGCCTCGCACAATCCAACCGTATCGTAGCTGAACCCCCTGAGGCCACCAGGCCTGTGGGCAGGGAGATAACGGTTTCTGAAGAGCTGGCTCGCTGCCTGGCCCTTCTAGAATGTGACACACGTGAAGAGATGCCAACACAGGGAAAGGAAGGAGGCTGTAGATGTTTTATGAAGTGTGTGAAGAAGCACAGTAACTACAGATTGAGGAAGTTCACCAGCCCCAGAGGGACATGCTGTGCGTCAGAGAGGTCCTGAAACATTAATATACTGATGGAGAGGCTTATTTTGTTGCATACTGTGCATGCCTGATGAGTCCACAGCCTGAGATCCTTGTAAATCTTTTACAGCCCGGAATGAGCAAGAGGAGCAGGAGGAAAAACGAGAGATAAAGAGAAGATTAACACGTAAGGTGAGAAGCAACTTTGATCCTATTATGACACTACTGTAATTTTCTCCCTACTGCACAGTTGTTTACCTTTTTCCTTTTTCTCAGACCATTTTCAGAAGTAGAGCATGGAACAAGTCTTAAAAGAATCTTTAAAAGAAATCACCAATGTTACAGGGTGTAAGTCCACAGAGAGTGAAGGGAACCACTTTGCAGGCTATTGCTGGTAACATTTTGAAACAGGACAAAAGAAGATCTAGTCTTCATAACCAAAGGAGCTTTGAACAGTGAAAGATAGAGAGCCTAGCATTGGTCTAACCCTGCTCCCTGTAAATGTAATGGCTTCTGCAGCCATTACAAAGGAACAAAGTTAAAACAATGCTGATTGCATTTGAAAATCCCACCTAAAAAAAGCATAAAACTGGGAAATAGACTTTTTCTGGAAATGGAGATTGTCACTTGAGGGATTTAAACTAAATAGGGACAAGCACTCGCAAAATGGTGTATAGTGCAGAAACAATCTTGTATTGGCAGGGAAGGATGAACAGAACAGCATAGTTTGGTTTTGGTTTTCCTCCCATTTGAAAGTCATTTACTCTTAAAACTGAAGAACAGTCATTTCAGATGCACACATTCAGTTTCGCAGCTGGTGTAAATGTCTATAGATGCCTCAACATACATAGCCAACAATCCATCGTGTTATTGCAGATAAACTTTATTTCACCACTGACATATTTCCTATCTCCAGAGGTGGAGAAAGCCCCCTAAAAACTCACATATTTGTGAAGCAGCACCAGTCCCTTCCTGTACATTTTTAGGTGGCTTAGTCTTTTTGACCTCTGTGATCACAAGCTTTCATGGTATAAATAATAACAAAGAAAGGGCTCTAAATATGTATGGAAAGGTTACATTCAGAGAGCTGGATTGCTTTCTTTCATGGTTAAAAATCTCATGCCTTATTCTAAGCTCACCTAAATCAGCAGAGTTCTTGGTCACCAACGGGGGGGATACTGCTGTTGTCTCCAGGAGCTAAGGAATGCGGCCCAGAGAGCTGTAATATTATTCTAAAAACAAATTCCTGACACAACGGCAGGGATGGTCTCGCATCCCCTTGTAGCACTGCCTGAAAGAAAAGATCCTAACTGCATTGCAGATGTTTCATTGGACTTGCACTCTGTGCAAAGGCTAGAAATACCGTTTTACCAGGCTTTTGATTTCCCTGTACATTGAAGGGTAAACACATACAGGAATCCAATCCAAAGCTTGATGCCGTTTGATGAACGGCTGTAATAGATAAAAAGCAAAGCTACCCATACCCAATCTGCTGCCTAAGAAGTGAGGGCTTGCTAACTCAGACGGCATTATTGCCTTACAGTTCCCATCCTCTGCTATTTTGTAGGAAAGGTACAAAGTACATGAATTGTCTGTTGCAGGCAGAGGCCACAGCCACATGCTCAACTAAAACATCCAGGCTGCTGTAGCATCGCAGCAGTTTCTGCTCCCTGAAACCTCAACAGTTTTCTGAGACTTCTTTCTTTGTCTTGTTTGCACTTTTAAGTAGGAACAACAGCAAGAGCAGCATCAGTCCAAGCCCCTTGCAGTCAGCTCTTTAATGTTCATACCCCTGTTCCCAGTCACATTCCTTTTAGCCTTTTTTGGCTTCTTCGCTAGTAAAGATTTTTCTCCCCCATGTTTGTGAGGTTAGTATCAACATGACTTAGCATTGTTTGATTTTGATCATCTTTTTAAACTGTTGTAAATTGTTCTAGTGACATATAATTTTAATGAAAGAACCACAGGCCTGGTCTAATGACAAATTTTGTTCTCACCTACCAAACATACTGCCATAAAAGCTCAGAAATCACTAGAGGAAAGAAGTGAATAAAGTGTGCAAGTGAGTAGATAACAACTAGAAATGCCAACCACGTAGTGAATCCTGCAAAAATTGTTGTTATTCCCCAGCTCTATCTTTCGTGAGCATGTCCCAGATGTGTCATTGTGTCTACAGCAGAGTAGCAGACTCCTTCTGTCGATTTGTACTGAAGTCTTATTACCAAAGGATTTTAAACCTCAGATCAAGCAGAAGTTTAATTGAGCACGGCAGGTGTTCTGCCCAGCAGACCTTTCTGTTTGCACTGACTCTTAGTGCACACACATACCCACAGGGTAAATTCAACATAAGGAAAGTATGCCATGTTGCCTCCTTGTAACCGTGTGTAGTTGATAATAAGAAGGGAAGGGGATTCTGCAGAAAGCACTGACAAGACTTGACCTTGCACTATAGAAACTGCTACTGTGCTGTTTTTTTGGTGGCGTCATTCCAACTCCAAGGGAACAACCCACTTCATCCATTAAAAAGGTGTTCTTAAAATTCCTTCAGCACTGACATTTTGTTACAGTATTATGATGATAAGTTGTAACATGACATACTGTAATAAGTAAGATTACCTTGCCAGGTCTAGATGCCTTATTAAAGTCAGCAATAAATACCCAGTTGAATTCATCATCTGGACAGGCAATTTCTAAAAAAAAAATTTAAAAAATCAGGTGACCTATAGCAAGCTGCCCCTTTAAGCACTTTTCATTCTCTCAGACTCATCTAACTCCAAATTAACTGGGGATAGGGAATAGCTGCTATTCAAGGAACAAAATGGAGGCAAATGCTGTTAGTTTCTGTGTAGCTCATGTCCCTGTTACCTGAGGAAGGAGAAGTGGAGTATATTTGCCTGTCACCTGAGATGCCCATGGATGGGTTCTGTACATCCAGCCACCCCTGTGCTCCTTCTCCCTGCCCCTCGGGGCCCACTGAGCAGTTTTGGCACATGGACTTGCATCATTTGAGTGAAGGGACATGTGGATTAGGAAGGGGTTTTCTCTGAGCACTGATCTTGGCCCACAAGCCCATTCCAGGAATATTAATGTGGAGATGCCCTCTGGGAGAAGTGTTGCAGGCAGGTCCCCTCCACAAGGAGATGTGGACCCCCAGGAATTACTACTAAGAATCTATCCTCTCTGAACCACAGTGAATTTGGCCGAGCACCAAGGCAATTAACATAAGCCTGAACTCCCCCTGAGGACTTCCATTACAGAGAGCGAGTTGTAGCCTGGATTAACAGAACAAATTACAAATTACTTGCAAAGAGGAATAAAACTATTCTTTTCCTACCTTCTCTTCTCTCAAATAGCATCATGCTCCCCGTTCCCCAGAACTGTTTACTGCTTCCTATCCCCAACTGCCAATAGCTAATTTTTCCCGGAGGTCTAGCTCCAAAACTAAAAATCTCATAGCTGTAATATCAACAATGAAAATTATGAGATGTGGCTGTTTTTTAAAATCCATGAAATAATCTGAAATCTTTGCTCCCATTAAATTCCTGCCCTGGTACAACTTAAACTTTCTGTTCACGGGTGCCTCACTGGGAAATATCTTGTTGTTCAATCTTTTCTTTAATTGACCTCCACTGGCTTGCATCAGCACAGGCTGTTCAAAATAATGAACTCTTGAGAAAGGTGGGACTCATCAGAGGAAGGTGAGAGGGAGGCGGGGAGGGTGGGTGGGAGGTCAGAGAAGAAAAAGTGTTAGCAGCTAATTTGGATAAACTGCATTTAGAGTTAGTGGGAAAGGTCTTTGGGTCATTTCATCACATCCTGCTCCTATGTCTTACCACAAAAGGTCGAGAGCAAAGGAGAGAGGGGGTTGTGTGCACTGCTAGTTAGGATCTGTAATTTTTCACCTTGGTTTCTTCCCTAAATAACAACCATAACATTTTAACGAGGTAACAAAGCAGGCAATGATGGTGTGACAAGACAACGAGCTTCATTGTGACTGAAGTGGAGCAAACGGAGCATTTTTCCTTTGACTAAATCCCAAGACCAGACCGGCAAGAGTATGTTCCCCTCCACTTTACCTGGTGGCAGTGCTTGGGTTTGCTTCATTTCCCACGCCGAGAAAAAGGGGTTTGTGTTAAACCTTCCCTTGCAAATTGGCTTAGTATCGAAGCTTGAAACATGCCCATTTTCATCTCCAGTGATCCAGAATATACAGAGGAAAACTTGACCTCCTGTGATGAGACATGGGAGGTCCTGTCCTCATTTACACTGCTTTTACATTAATACAAATCCATTTACTTCAAAAGGGATTTTCGCTCTGGTTCACACTCAGATAATGAGGTCACTCACTGTAAAGTTATCCTGCTCCCTCAGCTCACAAATCTTCACAAATAGGCAAATACAAGCGTATATGCCCAGGTGGCACACCCAGAAAAAGTCCAGACACACACATGCACATCCCTTTGACATTAACAGAAGTAAGCCAACTCAGTAAGATCCCTTCCTCCCCCCTTGGAGCACCACTACCTCGTGCAGGCAATTGCATCGTGTCCTTGACCATATCCTTTTACTGTAAGTTTCAAACGTGCCCTATTCTTTCTGCCTGTTAGAAGAAGCAGAGCTTATTCTCACGTGTTGCCCAAGAAGGATTGTGCAGCGTTAAGCAATTTTGACCCAAGAGACCGCAGCTCACAGGTCATAAAAATAAACTCCAAGGTGAGATCTCAGGTGAGCTCTGCCGCCAGTGTGAACAGACATTGAACTGACACCTACAGTGTGTGGAGCCGCTTAGAGTCTGTTCTGCAAAGCTATTTCCCCAGCTGTTTAAGAGTTAAGGGTGATCTGGGTAGCCCAAACATACTGAGAGACTCTCGTGCTTAGCAGCTCACAAGAAACCTCTGCAATGGCATGAGAACAAGGCAGGGCAGTTTGTTAACCATTCAAATAATGTAGCTTTAATTAATTGCTTTTAGAAAACCACTCAGTGTGGTTGTCCCTCTTTTTACATTTAGTATGATCGGATTGGCACTTCAGTTTAATGTACTGAATATATTTTGTGTGTGTGTATTTATATATGTAAAAATATGTAGATTTATGGCTACACGTGAACTATGTGGTATAAGCTGTGGACTTCAGGACTGTCTTTCACAGCCAGAGCACTGGCACGAGTCACTGCATCTTTTTTCTGTTCATAGCTCTGCACCAGGCCTCCTGGGTCACCTTGAGCTGGTTGCTCTGTCTCTGTGCTTCGCGTGCTCCAACTGCTCGGTGGGGATGGAGACACTGCCCACCACTCTGATGGGGTGTATAAGTACCTGAAATTGCACTGGTTGTAGGTTTCTGAAGAAATGGCAGGGCATCTAAAAATAATATACAGTAATAGTCGTATGACTTCAGAGGAAGAGAAGCAGCTTTTAGTCTGTCTTACGTTCAGGTGTCACCTAAGAATGAAAAATGCACATTAACACCAAAGTTTCATAATGTGCTTAAGCCCTTGACATTTCTTCATGTATAATTCAGTGCGCTGTTCTTCATACCCACCAAAGGGTCACAGGGAGTTTCAGTGGTGTAAAATGTGCAGGTGATGCACCTGCTTTGACTTTTGTGCATTTGCAAACATGAGAACTTACCTAAGACGCCTCTCATTTCATCATGTGACCCTTAACATTTACTGTCATTTCTTTGATTTTAACCCACACCCAGTGCACAAGGAAGCCAAATTAGCTGTTTAAGATCCAGTGCAGCATTGAGGTAAAGACTAGCAATGAATTCACATAGCCAGCAAAAGCATCACCACCTCTGTGGTGCTTGATGCTCTTGCTTTCTTGACACCACCTAGACAGCAGCCTGGCACAGCATGTTTCAGTGTATCAACAGCCACCTTCCTTCTCCTTTGTACAAACTTGCTAATCACTTCGATTAGCACAAACCTGAAAGCCAGCTAATGTCAAGAGCTGACAGAAGCTGTGAAATAGAGCCAGTCATTTTTTGAAAGTCCTCTTCCAGCTTGGAAAGCTTGTAGGAGTTCCTGCTTCCCTTGTAGCCATTTAGAAACACAGAGTTTAATTCATAGGATTTCGTGTTTTGTTGGTGTCATCATACTCCAGGTAATAAGACGATTTATTTTTTAAAAAATTCTATTCTAATCTGAAACAACACCTAGGCTATGTCCTAACATGATAAAAGCTGAGAAGTGTACAGATAATATTGGTGATTCATCCTTAATTCATGCTGTTGTGAGAAAAGAAGCAGCTGATGGAAGTAAAGATGGAGTCTCACCCTTATCTTTGCAATTTTGGGGTGTAGTCATAAGATTATTTCAGCATAAAGATTCTCTATTCCCATAGTGAGGGGTTAGATTTTAAATAATCAGAAGGAAAACTGTGCTGTGCTATCTGAATAATAATGTCTCGGTGCTAACAAACCTGCAGCTCCTAGTACTAGGGCTGCTAGAAAAAACTACCAATTTGAAATCATATTCAAGATGAGTTGTAGGACAGAGAGAAGCCTCACTCATAGTGTAACTGGGATTATACTCAAAGTGTGGTATTAGCACTTTGGTTTTCTTGCATTTGTTAAAAGCCCGTCTATTAATTGCAGTGTGTATTTGGCTTGCAGGTGACTTAGGTGTAGGTGTCAGGGCTGCAGGCTGAAGAGACGATTCTGTTCTGTTAGAAGGAAAAATAACATTTTTTAATCTATATATGCTTCAGTCTGTTGTGCCCTCTGGCTTTTCTGACATGGTACTCTAGCTCAGAGATATGTTTATCCTCTTGTCTAAAAAAAGCCAAAAGTGTTATGCCTGCTGTGTATGCATTTTGCTTTTTTAAAAAAAAAGGTCCCCAAAACATGTAGTCTGAGTTTTGCTCATGCTTCTTGCTAACCTCACTGCATACATGCTTTTTGGCTGACCTGAGCATGCCTGGCCTGAACGTGGGTGTACAAAATGGGTCTTTTCTTGGGAAGCCTTTGGAAGAAATACGAGGAATGTTGTGTGACAACCACATGCAGAGCAGCTTGCCCCAGGAAACTTCATGCCTCCCATAGAAGGTGGTGGATGTGAGAAAACTGTCAAAAGATCTTTGCAATATTCAGAAGTTTCAAAGTTGTTCTTTTTGAAACCATCAAGAAGTTTTTCCCCCTATTAAATGTCATAATTTATCCTAAAATGGCTTTGGAGACAACACATGTACTGCCTGCTGAGCTGCAACTTGACTGATGCCAGCTGTGCTAGGGAAGGGCATTACATGGCAGAATGTAGAGCTGTGCTCCTGGTTGCACTTTCTTTCCATGATTTCTCTGCCTTTGGTGTGTGCAAAATGGCTGGGCTGCAGCCAGGTGGGGTAGAACCTGATTCCTGTCCTCCTGAGCATCTCACAGGCAGGGCATTAGTGCAGCTCTGCAGACTACACGAGATGTTTGAACTCAGTTTGTGAGTGCATGCTCAGGGCTATCAGTGTAAGGAGAGCAGCCCCACTGTCACCTCCCACCACAACCATCTTTTCTAAAAAGAGAAGAGAGAGGCAGCCATCCATGCCAAGAAGCAGCACACAGGGATTTAAAGCTAGAGGCAGGATGGGGTGATGGAGCTATCTTGCATCAGCACCCAAATGCTGGAGAAAGGTGGGCTTTTTCACCCTCCACTTAGTATCCTGGCTGTTTTGAATCTTAATTCTCCCTGGAAGATGAAATGCAGGGAACTGAAATACTTAATTTGGGAGGAAGATGGAATTGCATGTCAGGATTCAGGAGCCTAAATAAGTTTGCAGAATAGTCTCAAGCATTTCATGAAATATTTAGACCTTTCACTATTCACAAGGGTGAAGTATTGCAAAACACACCTATTTCTAGTGAGTGGCAATAGCATGATATACTGTATAGCTAATTGTTAGCAGGATATTATTTTTCCTGATGCATCATGATTGCAAATGTTTCACTCTAATAGTGAAACTTTTCCAGCTAATATACAGCCACATGCACACGTGTATGTACCACTTTCTTTAGAAACAGTTGTGTAATTGCTTTTGACATTAATCAGCATGCTGTGCATCCAAGGAGAATTGTTCCCTGAAAGCCAGTTCCTGTCCCTAGCCACGTAACTGGCTGTACAATACGTGGGCTACCAGCACACTACTGTTTCTAATTTGAGAGGAGAGTTTTGACTGTGGCTGCCTATTCTGCTGTGGAATTTGAAAGAAATGCTTGGAACAATGAAGATGCTTTCTTGACATGATACGATCCACCCTTGCAATTTTTGGGGGGGCTTGTATTATGCAATGTAAACTGTTAAAAGTCAAATACACTGTGACACAAAATAGAGCTGCAGCATACAGTGAAAAGTTCAATGAGCACTAGTCATCACCCTGCCTGCCTTTTCTAGAGGTAAGGACAAGTCTGTAGAATATCAGAATGGTAAGGAAAATTGTTTTTCACCGTCTACACATAATTCAGGGCAGGAGCCACTCGGTGTCTTTGCCTGACTCTTCCCAGGCGGCACAGAAGCACACACAGCCTGTGCAGGTAGTTTTAAAGTTGAGTTGTGGTCTTCATCTCTTCCTGAGACATTGGTGCACTAGGAGACTTTCTTGCATTAAATCTCATTTCTGCCAGGGGTGACCAACCTCAGCCAGGGATTAGGGTCTTCCGCCACAGCTGCTTCCCAAACAACGGTGGGCTGCTCCGGCAGCAAGGTGGGATGATATTCAAGGTGCTATAACAAGAGGTTATCTCCCAAGTAGCAACTCTGTGAAAGGTTGATAAAAACAATGGTACTGGGAATGTCTGTACTGTCTTCTTATCGTAACAATGGTTGTAGTAAAATAAATCCCCAAGCAGCACTCTGCAGGGAAAAAGTGAAGTCCTGCTGTCTTTTTCCACTCCTTCCTCAAACCTGCAGCTGAGTCAAAGGCCCACGGTAGAAGAGCTACGCGAGAGGAAGATCCTCATCCGCTTCAGCGACTACGTGGAAGTGGCAGACGCACAGGACTATGACAGGAGGGCGGACAAACCCTGGACACGACTCACAGCCGCCGACAAAGTAAGTGGAACAACTTTGCGAGAGCCATGATCTGAATAGCTAGAGCATGTCGTGGCGAATGGCATCCCTGGGGTCCCACAGGACCCATGGCCGTCAAGGAATAAACCTCCACCTGATGTCCCTTCCCAACACACCTGTAGTTTCTTCCCATTCACGAGGTTTGTTGTTTGAGTCACAAATCTTTGGCAAGAAGGCTCCTATATGCGTGGAAACCAGGAGCAAGCTTAGCAGCATTACACCATTTAAACAGAGAGGAGGGAATATCAAGCCCTTTGAGGAAAGGTCTTGATGGCAGCCCTGTTATTTGTTTGTTGGTTTTGGTCTTGCCACATAATGCTGCCAGCTGAGAGCTCCTGCAAGACCTAGCAGAGCAGTGTGACAACAGCACTTGCCTGAATTGCGGTGCCAGGACGGAACAGGCCTGGGTGCAAAAATGCCAGCAGGTCAGATTGGCAAAGGCACCTCCGTCCCACCAAAGCCAGGTAACTTCTCTCCAGTGTGTTGCAACAGAGGCCTTTACTTGGGACTTCTGCCACAGAGTATTTTAAGAAATAAACTGAAATCACGTAAGCCCTGCAGACAAAGAAAAGATGGGTGTTTGGTATTGACAGCACTGTCCTCTGAGCACCGGTGGAACTTTCACCAAGCGGTGTCTCTGGTGTTGGCGTTGGTGGCGGGGGCGTTACACTGCTGGCAAATTATATGAGTCACATCCTGAGGGTCTTAATGGTGCCTCAGGAAGAAGATTTAAATGTTCTGTGGCCGCTGTAAGAAAAGAGGACGAGGCTGATCAGTGATTCCCATGCTTACAGTCACTCTATGATGCCCATGTAAGTGCAAAGACTTTCAGGTATCTGAATTCAAGCCTTGACTATTTTTTTGCTGTGAGACTTATGCAGCCATGGGGACCATGATGTCCAATGTTTGGAGACAGGTGCAGGATTTCTGGCCATGCCACTCATTTGTGGTGCTCTTGGTTTTATTCACAGAGGAAAGGGCAGCCAGTTAAACTTGTGTAATTTAACCAAAGGTCTTGTATGGTTTTGTGACCACTGGTTTTCTCCTTGACAGAGGGCTTTTTTCAGTTTAGCTTTGGCTAAGTTAAGGTAGCATAAACTGATCTGAAAAAAGGAAAAACTTCCTCCAGACTGTCCACAGACCATAATATAGTGGGTTAAATTAGCTTTTCCCATTTTATCTCAGCATGTTGGACAAGGTCTTAGTTTTATTCTCCCAAGTGGTAGATGAGGGAGGGAATAAATCTCCAACTGATTCTGCAGCCTTTGAGAGATCCCTGCCTGGGATGAAGGGCGTGGAGAAACTTAGCTGGGAAAGGAGAAGATTTGGTGTCCAGAGAGGTCCTTCCTCATCCTGTGTCTGTTAAAAGAACAAGTATTAAATACCACTATTAAATGTAGCTTGGTAAAGAATTCAGTATTAAGGCAAAGTACTTTGGGGTCACTTTTTCTTTTTTTATAATGCATGTGCAAAGTCAATACTCAGAGCAAAGGGCTTAAGTTCCCCAAATGAACCTTTTCTCAGCAAACCAGAAGGAATGTTTGTCATTCTAATATTAATGCCCCTTATGGCATAAGGAAGCAGATATATTCTTTTGGGGGGTTGGGTCTTGTGGGCAGTATCCTGATTTCTGCTGTTCAGATGATGTGCTTTTCCCGACCGCTGTGTCCACTGTTGGAAAAAATAGCCAGACAAATTGGAATCAACTCTGAAATGCCTGACAAAGCTGCAACATCCTATAAAAGATTATTTTCTTCCAGAGCTTTGATTCAATAACTGTCTTCATTGGTCAGCACAGGCTAGATTTATTGCAAAAATAGATTTTAGTAATGGACTTCTCTGTTTGTCAGTAAATCTTGCTCTGTGTGCTGGGTGTAGGGAACTGCCTTCAGTCTGACTTCATTTTTACCAGGTTAGAGGAATAAAAAGGGCACTTTTAAATCTCTCCAACAGATGAGGGATGCAGGGCGGGGACAGATTTCAGACCTTGTGGGAGTCAGCAGCCCATGTGGCCTCCTTCACAGTCAGTTAAGTAGCAAATTGGTTTGCTGAAGGTAGGCCCTTGAGTTGCTGTATAGCCATCACTCTGTCCTGATAGATGGAGGCAGAGCCCAACAGATATTTCTAAGGTAAATAAAAAAACAAAGCTGTGCAGAAAGAGCACAAGGGGCCTTTTCTGTAGACCACACTCACAAAATCTATCACTTAGGGCTTGTCAAGGCAAAGGTAGTTGGTGACTGGATCAGTGGCTGTTGCAAAAGCCCTGTTTTGGGCTCGTGCTGTTCATACTAGTTCAGATTTCCTTTGTCGAGAAAAATTCCTGACAAACATGAGCACTGCCAACTAGAGCAGCCACTTGCTGATGCTGATGTTTTCAGCATCACACAGAAAGGCAGTGGCACACACCTTGGACCTGTGGGAGTATTTGGCCGCAGCACCCACCTTGCACGTGCTCTCCAAATAGTCACAGTGAAGCCTACTTGTGAGCCACAAATACCACAGGGCTGTCAGAAGTCTTGACTTTGGGCTTGGGACTTAAGCCAGTTCTGCTGAGCGCCATCCGTACCATGAAGCTGAGTCCCTCCAAGTCACCCCTTCTACTTTTTTATTCTTCAATATTTCTCTTCCCGCAGTCACCCCTGGTTTTCTTTTACCCCATGGACAAGCCACAGAAGCTGTAGGTAACTGGGTCTCCTGTGGATACTGAATACAACCACCTGTGGCCAGTTTTCTGCTAGATTAGTGCACTGAATTGGTTCAGCAAATGGCACAGCTGGGTCAGAAGGGAGGAGGAGGGTAGAGGGGCAGAGCCTGAGCCTGAGCAGAGGGCAGGGAGCCAGGCATTCCTCTTTCCTTCCCAAGTAAGCTCAGCCGCTTTAGGCAACTTCACCCGAGGAAATTCAGGACCGCATAAAGGTAGGAGACATCTCAAATAGAAGTCTGGCAGGATCCAGGTGGAGTTTACTCACAGTGCAGCTCTGAAACAGATCACAGTGTTTGAGAAACTGTGGTGCACGTTTTTTTTCTCATGCTTATGCTAATTTGGATTTTGTACATAAAAGTGTTTACATAAAAAGTCAGAATTGCGTTCTGTATCTGCGTTGTCTACGATACATTTTCAAATTGAGCCATTCCACCGAAGCATTTATCTCTTCCCTTTATGTGATTTAGAACATGTTTATCTCTGTTCCTTTTCACATTTTAAAGTCTTTTTTATGTTTTTCTTTCTCTCTCTGATAATGTTATCTGCTTCACTTTTAATATACTGTTTTGAGAACAAAGTGAGCTTATTTTGATCTCTCTCATTTATACATTTATGAGTTTATTTGTCCTTTGCAGGCAGCCATTCGAAAAGAGCTTAATGAATTTAAAAGCACTGAAATGGAAGTTCATGAATTAAGTAGGCATCTAACAAGGTAAGACGAGATTAATTTTTTAAGACTATCAATGAATACTGTTGTTTAAAAAAAAACAAACCAGCAGCTGTTTCTCCAACACCCACTGAACCACACCATGAGGTCTAGACAACATTTAGAATTACAGGCTGTAAAAGAAACTCGCACCGATGAACTCACACTGCCCCATTACAGGGCAGTATGCAGGCACATGCCGTCTGTTTAATGAAGTGTAACTTCCTTTTATTTTTTTTAATCATCATGCTCTAGCTGCATGTCTGTTCTTCTGATATCAAAAGTAAATAGTGTTGGTGTCTGAAGGAGGACAGGGAACTCTTGTAGAGCCAGCACATAGCAAGATATGAATGAGCGTACACTCAACCCCCCCGAGCATACGGCTGTTCCACACTAGGCACGTCCCACGTACAGATCTCTCAGTCCTGTCCTCCATGTCCTGCCACAGGCGATGCAGTGGGGAAACTGCACGATTGGCATTATAAGAGAGGCACTAGTTTTTACGCTTTTAGGCTTTTTTTAGTTAAAAAGGTAGAGACTAAATGACTTATCCATGACCCCAAACTAACAACCCTCCTCTTGGACAGGCTAGGGCTGAGGCACACTGCGGGGGTCAGGGCACGTCCCCTCACACAGCCTGTGCTGAGTCTGCTCTGGCTTTGATGCCGAGATGAGCTGAACTCCAGGCATTTCAGCTGAAGTCAGGCCTTTGCAAATCAACATTAACCCCCGCTCATTGTTAGACATTAAAGACAAGCGTTAGGCATTGAAGACAAGTGACAGCAAGATCTGGTGCAAAACTGGAGCTGCCCTTGTATTAATACGTTCATCAGCTAAGGTGCTCATAAAAAATGCAGTCAGTACATTTAAGAAAAATACAGAAAAGCTTAAGGCAAAATTAATTTTGTATTAGGGGATTTTTATGTGTATAAATTAATAATTATATTAAAATTCACCACATGTATTATGCATATATTCCCTTTCAGTAACAATCTCCATTCTACTTCCTAGCATGTGCTAGGATGGTTGCACTGGGGTTTGTACTAACTGAGTGCTGCTAGAGACAAGCCAGCTGCTTTCGAGCCACGAGGTCTGGAAGAAGCTTTAGGGTGTGCAGTTAGCCTAGATCTGTTGACCCCAGTGACTGAGCCTTTGAGGGACATTTGGCTCACTCCTCCAAGAGAGTGGTAACAAATTTAGAAAGGATGAGGCTAAAAGGGGTGTTGCTACAAGGAGTTGAGCTCCACTGAGAACTCCATTGATTTCCATGAGGCCTTTAGCATCCCACAAACACAGAAACTAGTTTACTCTTCCAGAAGTCCCTCCAGCTGCTTGGCTTTAGTAGGTTTCTGGGCAGTATTTTGCTTCTCTTCCAGTGTTGGGGTGAGCAGTGACTCTCTGCGGTGACTCAGTTTGTATTTGAAAGCCACCAAGTGGCTTTGACTCACTAAGTCTGGGCCAGGCATACTCAGAGGTATAGCTAATATAATAGACATTGGAATAAGGATTTGTCTGAAGTTCAGCAGGACTTACTGGTTAGACAAGTGCCTTCAGGAAATACGCACTTGAAGGAAGCACACTTAAACAAAATAGAGTAATTCCCTTAAACAAACTTAGATAAATCACCATTAGAGAATCATTAGCAAGGTGATGAGCTATTCATGTCATTAAGCAGTGGTATGAGCTGAGCAAAGAATATGTGTTGCCTTACTAGTGGGATACATTAATTAATTCATGATAGAGTAAAAAATCAAAGGTTTTAAAAAAAAACCGCATTTGCAGAGCTGACAAATGGAGGCCTCCTGGCACAGGGTGTACTTGCAGAAAGGGTGGCCATTTTAGCTCTACTTGTCTCTTTAACCTCCGACATTAAGGAATAATCATACTTGAACTGTATGTACATCTTTCTGGCTGAAGACCATAAGGTTGGGCTAAACCAGGCAATTTTTGTGGAACTGGGCATGGTGTGGGGTGAAAGAGGACTAGCTAATCTGAAATAACTTCCTTAGGGATCTGATAGGATAGACCCAAAGCATATTAGTGTCATTTGGTAGATTTTGGCGCAAACTGCCTATGAACTGTGAGACTGGCGAGGACCAAGGAAGTGTGAGTATCTGTTCTGGGTCTGCAGTGTCAGCATGGCTGATGTCAGTGCTGCAGGAATCAAGCTGCCTAATTGTTTCACAGTAGCAATTAGTTCTCCAATTTTTTTTATGCAAAAATATGCATGTGAGGATATTATCTTACTATTTATCTTTTTTTTTTTTTCCCCCTTGGGTTTTAGGTTTCATAGACCGTAGCAGTTCAATTCTACCTGACTACTATGCCGTCTTCATAACTAAAAGGAACCATAAGTGCTGGTATTACTCACTTCCCTGTTACGTACAATGTAAATCTTCTGAACTGCCTTTTTAAAAAAAAAAAAAAAGTAGAAAAATAAATATTAAAAAAAAGGAAAATTGTATTTACATGTGATGGGTACTGCAGCATCATCAGACCTGCTGGTTCAAGCTTCAATAACAGAAAATACCCCTGGTGGGAATCGTGCCAAGACTTGGCATCTATGTATAAGACTTTCCTGGCATGTGGATTTGCCATACATGTTCAAGCCCAGCTGGTGGTGCATCCATTTTGTCTTCAGGCACCCCTCATCCTGACAAGCCTCTGTCATCAACTCTAGAGAGCCCTGAGATGGTGTTCAGGGAATCACTGGCCTGGGTGAAGTCTCCAAAAGACGAGCACCTGTGGCACTAAAGCACTTATACCAAACACTCCTTTCAGGCTGCGAGCACCTTATGAGGACGGTGAAGGAGCAGAACTACTCTACAGGCCAGCCTATCTGTGAGTATCACCTGACTAGAAAGGCATTTCTTTCCCTGGAGAAGTTTATGGCCAGTCAGTAGGCATTGTTTGGCTCCCAAGCAGAAACAGGCATCACCTGTAAAGAACAGGACTCCCTACTGAAGGCAGTTCTAGCAACTGTTTATTTTTCATGTCTTTCAAGTATAATTTCCTAAACCCAGTTGTGCACCTGTCAGCAGTAAGCGACAAGAATGTTGAGGACAAGCAAGCAAAACCCATCTCTTCATGGTCACTGCATGGCACTCACTCAGCTTGTACTTTGTTTTTACACCTAAGCCCCGTGATTGTATGAGAGCTGATGCACGCCCGGCAGCAAGAAAGGATGGAATTCCCACTGGCTCTGCAGAGGGACACATGACAGGAGGAACCGGGGTTTCAATGAGGGATATCTATCCTCTCTGTATCAGGTGTTTCAAGAACATGAACAACAAGCATGACAGATTGTGTTACCTGGTCTAACAAAACGAGTCTGGTGCGTTGGTATGGATGGTGGGACTTGTCAGCAGTACCCACAGCTGAGGCATAAGGACAGCAATTCAGAGGTTTTCTGTTTTGGTTTTGATTTATTTTTATTATAGTGGTTTAACACACAAACTGACCAAGTAGAGCTCAGAGAGCTGGTCACTCTGGGCCTGGTTTACCTGCCAACTTAAGTGTGTGCTTAACACGAAGTAAGCATGCAAACAGCCTCACTGTATTCAAGAACATGTCTGACAGGCTTAATTGAAGCTGACCACATTTAAGTGCTTTTCTGAACTTGGGTCAGCACCTTCCAGAGTAAGTAAGTCCTTAACTAGTATAATGCCAGCAAGCTGGGGCAAACATTGTCTAGGATTCCTTTCCAGCTCTTACAAAAAACTATTATGCCATGTTTTGGGCCAGTGGCCCAAAGCACTGTAGCAACATTACTGTAACAAGTTCCAGATTATTACTTCAGGGCGCCTTTTTTTCTTCCATAATACCTATTTTGCTTTGACAGTTTGAACAGAGAGGCCAAAGTTTTTTACTTACAGTATTGTTATTTCTGTTATTATTCTTTCCTTTCTCACTGTCTTCCGTGTATCTATCCACTCTTCTGTGCTCCCTCTCTACCTCCCCTGATGCCATGCTAACATTGCCCTTCACTGATTGCGGGCTGAGAAGCCTGTCACGCGCGAGCATTTAATGGCCAATGCTGCATAGTGCCAACACTCCTGCCCCTTCTCAGGCCTCTGTCTCATTCTGCTGGTCGCAGGAGTGAAGCGAAAGGACCTGCACGTAGCCCAGGGAGTTGCTCTAGCATCCAGCCTGGCCAAACGACACTGGCTGCGAGGCTAACACACTCCATTTATGCTTAGCAGTGGTACTCGATACCTCACAGGTTTGCTCTCCCCCAGAGACAAATGAAAGCATTTCATGCTCATCTGTGACCAGCCTTGCAATGCTATGGATTATTAGCTATTGAATAAGAATTGGCTGTTGTAGGATGGATGATGCTACAAAGGAAAGTAAAAATTAGCTGGTTTCTGGTGCCTCATTTTTGAGGCATCCTGCCTCTGATGTGATATGCTTCCCAGACTGGGTAATGATTTCTGAAGAACACGCACAGTGATCCCTGTATCACCAGCTCACAGTTGCTTTAGATACAAGTTCGTCAGTAGTGGAAGCCTTTAATGTGCAATGTTATCAGCTCAGTGCAGCAAAGACAGAGCACTTACTAGCCAGAAATACACTGCTTTGGGGGTTATTTTCATGAAAACCTGGGATTCATGTTTTTAAATTTATTCACATACACATGCACACCTAACAAGACTGCATTACAGCTTTAAAAAGGGAAAACAAAACTCTACGCTTTTGACTACACACACTGCAACATAGCTGTATTGAAGAGCAACAAGCCCTCTTGTTCCCACTATGGATCTCACACCTGCCCTGGCATCGTTAGCTTAGAGGTTCAATGTGAAAGGGAAAGGACAAGCAGTGGTGACAGAAATCACAGGACGCAGTAAACTGGTGGGAGGAAAAGGTGAGATTTTTTTTTTTTTTTCCAATTTATGATTAAGAGGAAAGAGGTGGAAGTAGCAGACTGCTGCTGTCAGTCTGTTGTCAGTGCCGGTGTCCCCAAGGGGAATGGGCAGTCCGTGGGCAATGTCACTCTGGGTACAGTCACTGTCCCTCAGCCGGCCTCAGGATTCATGCTGTCCCCAGGGCAGCTACATGTGGCAATGCTTTTTTCTTTTCTTTTTTTTTTTAATTTTTTTAAATGATGTTAACTCCAGGCTGAGCAGACACTAGGACACAGTGGAAGAACTGCCGTATGTCTTGCAGATTGCAAGTAGAGCTTATTACTGAAAAGGAGAAGGAGGAGGAGAAAGAAGCCATATGAAGCGTTTGGCACTGTAGTAAGCATCACAGAACTGGCACTTCATCTGGTTTTAGCTTCAGTGGTTCTGGGTATTTTGCAAAGTTACTTTTTGGCAAGGCATTCTTCAATAACCTTTCAGTGCCTGAACACTGCAGTGCGTCCTCAGTTTGCACGCCCACCTCTGGCATCCATGGGAAGCTGCAAGCAGACTGGGGAACAGCTAGTCCTTTTTTTAAAATCTGTTTTCTTCTTATCTGTGAAAGCCATCTCTACCACAGTAAAGTAGTTGTAATTCTGTTGGGGCTGGGTGGGGGGGGGGGACCAGAGACTCATGATTTCCCTCCTTCAACTTGGGTTATATGCAGGATGTAAAGATGATGGCATTTCTGGTAAGACTCAGTTAACACTACAGTTAACAACAGTCATCCTCATTCATGTTACAAGGAGATTAATAATAGTAATAAAGAAATTACATCAGGTTTAGAGAATGGAAATATCAACACAGAACAAAAATGGCTATTCCAATCATCCATCTCCAGGACTGATAATAGAGATAATATTCTAGAGTCAAGGAAGAAAAACATTTTTGGTTATAATCTACTGAATCCTGATGGGTTAGTCATACGTAAAATGTGCAAGTACTGTGACATCTCTTATACAGCCTATGGAAAGATGAAGTGGAAACTGGCAGGGCTGGGGAGGTGGTGATGGGGATTGGAAAAGCAATTCCAAAATGTCTAGACAAAAGTTGTGATTGTTTGAAAAAAAGTGATGGTGAGGGAACACAATGGTGGCATCACCCTCCCTCCCACCCACCCTCCCTCACCAGCAGCAGGCTGTAGGGACCTGGTGATGTATTTAACAGGGAAGGTCAGTGTTCTGGCCTTTCCCCACCTTACGCCCTGCTCATCAGGTACTTGCAAGGTGAAGTTCTAGGCTGCAGGTTTGCTGGGACGCAGCTGAGGCCAGCTTTTGTGTCTAGACAATTCCTAGTGTGTGCTCTAGGCATTATCAGAAGAGAAGGAAGGGGCTAAAGAATATATTAGACTTCTAACTATTTTATGTTAACTGAAACAATTTAGTGAGCCCATTACACAAACATATTTCAGCCTAAGACTTAAATGTAACTACAGCACTTCGTCATCACTGCAACTAGTCACCAAACTCACCATTATTTCTACAGTGAAAACACGATAAACAAAGAGGGGGGAGCACTTCCACCATGCCTAGTGAAAGCTTGCACTCATAAAAATAGATGGGCGAGATGGAAACCCAAAGTTACATGTGAACAGGGGCTCCTTAACATGCCTGCAAATAAAATCACTTTGTATAAATAGCCATGGGAGATGACTAGGCTAAGAAAAAAAATCAGGAAAGAAAAAGGGGACAAATTATTTTTCCCAGGTGTTCAGTCTGCTCAAGCTTGGAACAACTTCCATAAACAAAGAGGAGGTTACGGGCACATTACCTGCGTTCCCATGTGTCCCAGTCACTCCTGCACCAGTTGCATTTTCCAGTTGATATCCACGTGTATGTATATAGTTTGTCTTTGTATAGGAGTGAGTGTGGTGGCTGTCAATCATGTGCTCTTCCAGTATTGTAATTTAACAGATTATGGCTGTATGAAAATGATGTAAATAACTAGAAAAAATTAAACTGGATCTCTATGTCCTAGTTTTTGTACATACTGAAACTGCATGGTATTTAAATTATTGTTTGTCTCTGATGTATGCAGTTTCTTAAAAAAATTGATTTAAAAAAAAGCATTCATGTGCCTGTGTATTTTATCACCCTCTGTCCCAGTGACTGAGAGTGTAACAAACGGCTGCAGTCGAGGACACCAGCCCTCCTGCCGCCAGCCAGGCTCAGCACTGCAGCCTGGCAGCTGCAGTGACACAGCGCATGCCCACACCTCAGCGGGGCGCCAAGCAGAAGAGCAAGACTTACCAGAGCAGATCGATGGGACGTTTTGTTGGCTGAGCCGCTCGTGCCATCTCTATGAGCTGGTTCAGCGAAGGTGTGCAAAAGAAGATGACTGGCAGCTCAGCTGCTACCATGGTACCCAAAACCAGGCTAGGAAAGAACAAAACCACTGGTCTGCACTAGACACACACACACACAACCAAAACCCACCTCTCACCATCATGTTGTCGGTACAGGGCACACTGTCAAGTGCCTACTGCCAATGTGCAGCATTTGCCAGCTGACCTCCCTTCCCTGTTGAC